TTTCAAAAATCAAAATATAAGAGATTTGGAAGTTTTTTGTTTTTCTTTAAAACTTCATTGGTTGACTGATTGAACAAGAAATTTCGGAATAAGAATTAATTTAGATTTTATGGAAAGAACACATTTACCAAAAATAATTTATAATGCGTTTTCTTTCTCATGTTTACAATTATGCATGATTAATGATCTTATTTGAAAATGAAAGTGTTCTCTCATTTCTTGATCCTATCATCGTCTTTGAATTTAAATATTTTATAGAGCTGAATAAATAATATTGCAAGCTCTTATACTGGTAGTGCTGTAATGGTCATGCAAATATGTGAAATTCCATCCTATCACTTAATCAAATCAAAAATAATTATTTCCATTTTTCGTGACTATACATTCAACATAGTGTTGATTAATAGTGGTAATTATAATAAATAATTTAAACTTGAAAAATTATTCATACATTGTGATAAAAACCATATATATATATATATGGTATTGTAAAGTAATTTTACTGGTAAAATTTATCCAAGTATTCTAAATTTTTATTTCATTTATGATATGTAGAATTTTTAGCTCAACAATAAATATAATAAAGGCTGCAAATAACATAACATTTGAATTATACTTTCGACAAATCCTAAATTGAAAAATAAAAATACTCTCTTTTAATAATTTTTACAATCTTGTAAGTTTTTACTATTTAATATGAAAAGGAATATTTTAAAAAGGCGAAAATAGTAGTCAGAAATAAATTTGAACTTGATATGGATTTGATGTTAGGAAAATATTTTCAACAAATTTTCTCAAATCTCATTTCAGTGTAAATAAGAATCAGAAAATCATGAAAATTTGATGTATTTTTAATGCATTACCGTATGATGACATCCTTAGATGTGAGATAACACACTAAAGCAATTTTTTCAGTACTTCATTCAATTAAATACTGATTATATCAACAACAAAAATCAGTAATATTTGCAACTGTACTTTTAAAAATTATCTAAATTTTCTATCATTTTTCTATCGTTTCCAATTTTATAAATGAAGAATAACGAGATCAGACAATCGAGACATTTTCTATTGTAATAAATATATTTACAGAATTCAAGATGACGGAGCAATATATTAATGAATATAGTGTTCAAAAATTTTTAACTATAAATGAATAAGCCAACTTTGATATAATCATTTTCATAGATTAAAAATTAATATCAGCCAGTTAATATTAAAAAATTTCATTTAAAAATTTGACAATTTTCAGCTTTCAG